CACCCCACAGACACAAACAAAGCGAGCACAAGAACGCACGTTAGCAAACAAGCACGCTCGCACGCACTCTCCAGCACACAGAGCCATAGATACACGGATTAGGCGAGCCTCGGGAATGTGGACAGGGGATAAATCGTGTATATTCCATGACAAAAATTACTCGCAAGACAAAAAACTCATATTAAATAAGCAAAAAAATTAGGCTACGGTTCGTTCAAGTACATTATTTGAATTTCGAATCAAAATGGATGAAAGAAGTAGATGAAAGTTCAGAAAGGAGACAATAGACGCTGTTAAAGTCTTCTTATAACATCAACGCATGTCCTCTTGACTTTATGTGTGTGTAAAAAAATGATTGCAAGTGGGTAATATTTTTAAAAACCAATAATTGGTTTTTAAAAATATTACCCACTTGCAATCGTAATCATTACGTGGTATAACTGTTGTTTTGTTTTCTTCTTCTCATATTTCTATTGTTCTTGTCCTGAAATGAATCTTTAACACACTGAAAGACTCTTATTTCCGAAATTTTACTGAAAATCAGGTTGAAATCAACTGCAAATTTTTGTGGGCCTACATACATTTGCACCTTAAACCTTCTTTTCAGGGGCTTGTTTGCAGTGGTAGGCTGCTGGAGAAAATAATGAATGCACATCACTGCCCGACATTTGAAGGCGATTTTTGTGCTTAAATAAACCAGCAGCAAGTATAATGTATTGTATAGTTTTCTTTTCAACTCCCCATTTCTTTCCAAGTGCACGGTGTAAAAAAAAAGGATCTACTTTAAGGGGAATAACTCGGCCATCGATTTACTACTTTCAATAAAATTCGAGCAAATCAAATTCAACCATGAGGACGTCAAATTTGTAAATAGGAAGATGTTCGAGAAATATTAAGTTTTACAAATTTCAACCATAATTGCGTAAACCGCAAAATGTTACTTTTTAAAAGCGTTCTAGTAAAGGAGCATGATCGGCCCGTTCTGGTTTCAGGACAAGGACGGTAACACTACAACAGTCACCTCAGATAGATATCTAAACAAGCCGCGTAAATACACTGCAGGTTATTTAATTTTTTTGCAAGCTGTCACTGTGCAGTGACTGAAACGGTTTTGTCAATTCCTATTCTATGCGCTCCCCCCCCACACACACACATTTCCCCGACAGATTCCCACCTGAGTCTTTGGTGTGATGGATAGATTCTTTGCAGTTGCGTACAAAAATGATTCTCATCAATGAACAATTACATTTACTTTTTTTTTTTAAAACCTACTGTTGCCGTTAAGCGTCGAAGGTAGATGCACCTTTCTTTTTATAGTAGGCTAACTCTGCAGCTCTTTCAATTTAGTTTTTACTTTCTCAGGGTTCTCTTGACTCCCTCACAATCCACCTTTTGCGTGGCCTACATTTTCATTTATAGCCTGAGTATTTTGTGTTATAGGATCTCAAGGCTGGTTGGCTGGACTGGCTAGGTAACAATCGTAATAGATGAAAGATATTTTAGTTTATCTAGCATTCAGTCTGTCTGGATTGCATCTGTGGTGTAGCAGGTATGACTTTCGTCGTCGCTTGCCGAAGATCCGAATTCGATGTCCCAGTGTTTGTGAATGTATGTGTGAGTGTGTTTGTGTGTGTGTGGAGGTGGGGGGTGGGAGGGGTGACATGAATTTTGAGCATTTCGGTTTTACTGTTGGGACGTTAATTCTCAGCCCTGATTGAGCCCTGTCAGACATGGTCGGAGTCTGCCTCCAATGTTATCTAAGTTGCGTGAAAGGATGCGTAAAAAACCCAACAACACCCACATTTAAGAAAAGGTTCCGTCCGTCTGCTCTAGTTCTTTGCAGTAGCAGTAGGTAACAGTCTCGGTTATTACAGGATTCTGGCTGTAGCAGGCTGATAATAAATCCCCGAGTCTGATCTTTTATAATGTAGTGTAAAAAAAAGTGTCTTTTATTCGAGGCATTCTGATGGGTGTGCTCAGCTATATCAATGAAGCAAACTTCGACGTTATCCTAAAACAAACGAACAAAAAAACAGAGAAAACATACTAAGCAAAACAACAGTCGAAATTAATGGTGCATCGCACCTACGTGTCTCGTAATAGCCCTACTTTGATCGCAAACTTATTCTATGATGTGTCATACTATGTGTGAAGGGGAAAGGTGGGGGGGGGGTTGGATCAGTCAGTG